CATTAACTATATACCCTAAGGAAATAAAATCAGTATGTCAGAGAGATATCTGCACTACCATGTTTACGGCATTATTCACAACAGCCAAGAAAATGGAAATGACGTGAGTGTTTATAAACTGATGGTTAAAGAAAACATGGTAAGTATACATAAGAGAATATTATTCAAACACAAAAAGGGATAAAATCCTGTTATTTGTAACTACATGGATGGAACTAGAGATCATAGGCAAGATGAAATAAACCAGGCACAGAAAGACAAATGTAAGTCACTGGTACAGCATTTTCTTTATAAGCAACACTGGGAGGTAGGAGGAGAAAGACAACCTGCATGATCTTGCTTGTTCGTATGTGGAATCTAAAACACTAGACTCAAGCTATGAGCACAATGGTTACTAGAGGCTGGAAGAGGGACCTGCTAGGGTACAGTGTTTTTGTGGGGTAGGAGAATATCTGATTAGTATTTGAGGTAAAGATTTGAAAAGCCCAACTTTTGGTGTTGTTGATCTTGTGGTGTGTGTGTGTGTGTGTGTGTGTGTGTGTGTGTGTGTGTGTGTGTATGCGTATGTGTGCAAACGCACATCCCCCACATTGGTATGTTTGCTCTTTGAATATCTGTAGCAATACTCCTACTCTACACTTCTTAGACAAAAGGCTATTGGTAGGCATCACCTATATTTCCATGACCTTTTTACCCCATGAATGATTTTAAGATGTTTTTGTAATTTAGCTTTTTAAGTTACTTCATTATGAAGGTTGGCAGACTCACCAGTCTGACAGTTCTGGATATAGAAAATCAAGACTTTTAAGTAGGTAGTTAAAATTTTGTGCCATCTGTGTGATTACCTATTAAAAATGTGAAAATCATTTTAAAAAAACAAAGTGCCCAGAAAATGGGCATTTGTTTCTGATGGGAGTATACATGACTTGAAAAGCAACCTGAACTATGGTCAAAAGGGGGAACCAGGCAAACAACCCAAATGTCTGATAATAGGAGGAGGTTGCATAAATCATGGCATATTTTTATATTATAATTCCTCTTAAATGTAAATATTCCATTGGGAAGGTAGTTTTAATAAAGGAAACCAGCAATTGTCACACCTTGGGGTGAATGAGTTTAGGAAGTTTTTGAGGAAGGGAGGTTTAGTCCTAAAATAAGACTCCTGTTTCATACTGGCCCTATATAAAGTGTCCAAAACTCAGCTTTTCCTGGGGAGTATCATCTACCAAGATGTCATATGGTAAGCAACTGAACCCTTAAAATAACAGCCAACTCATTGGTACTCTTAGACCAGGGGGTGAAAATACTGAAAAGGTGACATGAATAGCATCTAAAAGAACTACAGTGAACCCTCGCATTATGACCAGCCCATATATGAACAACTTGGGCTGTGAACGGAAGTTTAGTTTTAGCTTATGACCAAAGTCTTGAGTTATGGCCACTTGTATGATTGTAATCAAAGAGTCATGATACCAGAAAAGTGTATTGTACTTACATACGTAAGTATCAGTCTGAGCTCAGATGCATGTGTTTGTGGATGTGATTTTGGCCAGTGCTTTATATAATTGCAACAATTACTGCTATCAAAATGGTCCCCCAAAAGTTAAAAAAGCTAAGGAAGGAAGGGAGGGAAGGTAAAGAAAGTAATCACAATAAAAAAGGAAATTGTGGAGAAATATGAGAGTGGTGTTCATGGTACCATCAGAGCCAAGTTTCAGGGCATAATTATGCCTGCAATAATAAAGGGAGTAGGAGCAAACAGAATACCAGCATTTTCCATGTACCAGTGTGGTTTAAATAATTTCTGTAAAAGGATTCATGTGGCCGTCCATTAAACCACAAACTTTTAGAGCAATGATCTCAGAAACTGTAGTTGTTTTGTTTTTTGGGTGGTACTGGGGGTTGAACCTAGGGCACTGAACATGGTAGGCAAGTGCTCTACCACTGAGTCATGTCCCAGGCTGTAAATTGTAAAATTTGGCTTTGTGGAACTTTATTAATCTCAATATGTTAGTGTTACTCTTTTATGCTATTACTTTAAAAGTTACTTCTGAGTGCTTATTTTTTTAAAATGTTATTCTTTACTCATTTGGATATATAAAGCTTAAAACGTTACAAGAAGTAGAAAATTACACTGCAAAATTTCCTCTATAAGTCCATCACCTGGATAATACTACTACTAACACCTTTTGTATATTTCTTCCAATTTGTTCTCCAGTAAGAAGCTAAAGTACATATATCAAAAGAAAGCAAGATGATAATGTACGTGTAGCTTTGGAAACTTTTTTTTTTCCTCTTGGTGTAATGTGACCACCTACATATAACAGTATTAACAGATTTACTTCATTTTCTCAATAGCTTTATAGTACCCCATTGCTCTCTATTAATATATGACTGCATTAATCCATGGTTACATTAATCACTTTGCTTCAAAGTACTTACCTGGATCCCTACTTTTGCAGGAGACAGATGTGTTGCTGTAACAGATTCCTAAAAGTAAAATGTGGCAACTGATAGTATAGCTATTGCTAATCTGTTCTCAAAGAATACAAAAGTTCCTGTTCTCCCCCTGCCCCACCCCCCAGTTGCTAATACAGCACATCATCAACATTCCTCCAAAAAACAATGCATGCATTTCTATCTAACCAGGCCACGATTTTTAGCAGTAGTTGACAAGCCTGTTATGTTGGATTTGTTAATATAATTTTCAAAAATACTGATGCCTAAGCTCTACCCTTAAAGTTTTATCATTAACATTTCACTCTGGCAGTGAAAAAAATAACCTGCTTTGACTTACATTTGTTGACTTTTACTGAAGTTGAGACACTATGTACTGGTACTGATACTTTCTCTTCTATGAACTGCTGATTTATTGGCTTTTGCACATTTGTGAGCTGAGTTGCTCATTTTTTCCTTTTTGTCTAATATGACTGTGTGTGTGTGTGTGTGTGTGTTACCGAATCCAGGGCCTTTATGCTGAACTATATCCCTAGTCCTCTTTATTTTGAGCCAGGGCTTTACTAAGTTGCTAAGTTGCCCAGGTTGAGTTAGAATTTGTGACCCTTCCAACTCGGCCTCCAAGAGTGTTGCGATTATAGGTGTGTACCACCATATGTGGATTGGCATAACTTTTTAATTGACAAAAATAAATTCCTTTAAAAAATTTAAAGGGATCTCTCCACTTTTTAAAAAATTTCTAGAGTTGATGTTGAACAGGCTGAAGTTTCTGCAATCCATGATCCTTTGATTAATTCTTGTCTTTGCAAGAATGTAAAATCCTGTTTCCTTGATGTCAGTCATCTATTATGCTGAACACTCACAAAGCCCTTCCATGTTATGTATTTCAGTACAGAGACATTTTCTTAAATTGCTTCTTTACTGATTCACATTCTTTTCAGTGTTCTTTTTCTGGAACTTCTGACTAGATATATTGAATGTCCTTGTCTGGTTCTTTAATTGTATCTTTTCTGTATTTCATCTAATTTTCTGTCTTTAGCCCTAATTTTTAGGAGACACCTTAACCTTTATCTCTTAATATGACAATTGAGTTTATCATGTCACAAGTTTTTTAATCTCCCATATATGTCAGAATCTTTCCACATGTTAGATAATTCCGAGTTATTTACTTCTAAAAATTCAAAATTAAAACACTGACTAAAGCTCCAAACACACATGTGGCACTTTTCAAGTTTGTTCTTGGAGCTAGGTTATATTTATAGCTCCTGGACCCTGAACATGGGGCTCCCTGTTCACCAGTGCTATCCAGCCATGTGGATAAGTACACAAGCTCTAATTTACATGCAAATGTTGAATGCTCAGAACAAATCATGGAGATGTCAGTAGCACTGGGGTCCTCTTCCTTGTGCCATGTGAGTAGTTCCCTAGCCAACCTCACTGCTATCAGGATCTATGATTTTCAAATCTGGAAGATCCAGAAAATTGTCCTCTCCCACATGTTTTTGGCTGTGGTGGCTGCCTTCAAATGCAGCCTATCTGCCTTCAGTCTCCAAGGAACTTCTCAAAATTACTTGTCTTCTAAGATCACTACTTATTATTTTGCAGTGTTCTTTCACATTTAAAAAACTGTGCTTTTTTATATTTTTAGGAATTTGTGTGGTCCGTATACTTAGTTCATCATCTTTATTTTGTGTATTTGGGTACTTTTAAGATTTTGTGAAAACAGTGATTTAGCTCTTCTCTGTCAGATAATTTGGACCTCTGAAGAAGAATTTAAGATTTCTGCTGGGTATGGTGGTGCACACTTGTAATCCCCGAAGTTTGAGGCCAGCCTGGGCTACACAGTGAGTTCAAGGCTAGTCTGGACTGCAAAGTCAAATCCTATCTTGAAAACAAACTGATCAGTTCTTAGATAATCATCTATTCTATGATATGTATTGGGTCACATTCCTTACATTATTCATTTTATTTCCACAAAAACTTGAAAGGTAGATATTATCATCCTAGTTTTACATAAGAATAAAGTTTTGTCAAAAGCATTAAGTAACTTACTCAAGAGCCCAGGGTTGGGCTTGGGCTTGGAGTCCTGGTCTAACTTGTTCATGTACAGATGAAGAAACTGAGGCCAAAGCAGACAACTAATCTGCCAGAGTAACAGGTAGTTAGGAGCCTTAAATCTCCCTTGCACATTTCATTTTTATTACCTAGTGGTTAGAAGTCATGTAATTTCCAATAGCATCACCATGTAACTGTTCTTTGATTTCTTTCAATATTGTGAGATTGGAGGGGCAGGAAGGCAGAGTTTGAGAGATTTAAATAATAGTAGCCCCGTTTTAAGAAAGGCATTCTGGAAACATACGGCCTTTAGTTAAACAATGTAATTCCCACAGTCTGATAAATCTCAAAAGCTATGTAGGGGCTGGTTTGAACTTTAAGATTTTTTTTTTATGTAAACAGCTTATGAAAACCACAGATTTCTTAAGCTCATTTGTGCTTCCAGCTCTGCCTTTACGCCTGCAAAGGAAATGCTTTGCTCCAGCCCCCGCCGATGTTTTCCACTTATCCTGTGATTTTTTAAAAATATTTCCCTTGGTAACCATTTTCCCTCGTTACTTTCTTGGCTGTTTTTCTACAAAAAGAACCGAACAGCATTTGTCCCTAAGGGAATCAGTTATTTCAGATTTTACTAAGAAGTCAACTAAGATTTTTTTCAACATTTCCTTCTGTTCTTTCTTTGTTTTTAAAGAAAGCTCTGATTTTGTTTCATTTTCAGCTGGAGACTTAAATGACACCAAGCAAAGTCTACTTAGTTTAGATTTCCAGGTAAAAAGTTTCAAATTTTAAGTTTCTACTAAGGCATGTTGAATGGTTTTAATATTTTGGTATTTTATGTGCAAATATGTTTAATTCTAGAGAAATTTAGCTCTTTACTAATAGATTTAAAAAGTTAAAAGTATGCATTATTTTGTTTTCTTGTTTTTTTCAGGATGATTACTTCCCAAATATTTCAAAATTTATAGAATTAGGATTAAAGTATTTTCGTGTTTGGATAGAAATATGTGATAAAAAGAATAAATTGGCTTGAAAGTTTCATTCTTGTTCAATTTTTAGTCCTAAAAGGTTATTTAAGAATGTTTTTTATTTGAAATCTGTTGGGTGACATGAAGGAAAATAACTGATGACTTCACGTAGATATTTAAAACTCAAGTATTTTTAAAGTTTACTTAAGACAATGAAAAATTTCAAATGGAAAAAACAATAAGTTAAAGTTTGCAGATAATAATGGGATAAACATAGAAGTGCTAAAAAAAGATAAAAATCTTACTTGATTAAAAATGATATTGTGATTGGAGTATCATAACATTTTACCTCTAGAAACATGTTCACTCAATTATAAAGTTGCTTATTAGATATTAATTGTAAAACCTATAAGTCACTGAAGATAAAGAAAGCCTGAGCATCTCATGACATTTACTTAAACAGTTTAATGAGGCTAGATAGTGGTTTTGTCAAAATTAAGGGAGCTCTGTCAATTTATACCTACTTAGATTTCTGGCTAAAAATGAGTCAGTCTGTGGGGAAGACAGAGTGGGAGGGGAATATCAGGATGAGGATCCTGGGAGACAGAGAGTGTGCTCAGTCTGGCCACAGCAGGCATACTCTTTCTCCTCTGTACTCACGCAGGCAATACCCTGGCAAGAAGGTGCTCACAGGAGGCCCAGGACAACAGGATACCTGAGACCCTCATGGGAGTTCATGTCCAGAGCCCTGAGGTCCAGGGCCTGATTTCATGACCCTCACCCTTCACAGGATGGAGGGTGTATACCTATGATTACCAAAGCAATAAGAGTCAATGCACACATTTTATGCGATGCAGAGCATTCATGCTGTGCATCCATCAAGGCCCACTTCCCCTGCTTCTTAGCAAATTCTGGCTGTATCCTCCCCCACAGCTCAGATTTTCACACTGATATTTCCTTTTGCTATTGTTATGCCTTTCCAACATACTACTGGCTCTATGAACTGACTCATGAAACTTCCCAATACTAAATATAATACAATTCAATGTGTCAACAAGCTTATGAATTTATATCTTCTTTACATTTTGCATGTTCATTTTTGTGAAACTAAAGAAATCATAAAAATAGTCCAAACAGTTTCATTCCAATGATGTATAGTAATGTTTTTAAATGACTGTAGTAACTAACATACATGTATGCTGACAAAAGTTTGATGCTGAGGTTGACACCACAGTATCTCAGTGGTTGCTAACTGCTGAGCTAAGGTGATGTGGTAGCACGTCCACACAGGTGAAACCTGAATTAGAGGAAGGTGATTTTGGCAGATGGAGTTATAAAAAGAGCTACTAAGATTTAAAGGGCCAACCACAGCTTGCCCTCTTGTCCTTTCATCAAATCCCTAGAAATAGCAGACTGTTACAAATATACAAAAACATGAATATATACAGCTGCACTGGGAAACAAGAAGAGACTTCTTTTTGGTTCTGGGACTCGAACTTGGGTCCTTGTACTTCCCAGGCAGGTTGGCATCACTGACCTAAATCCCCAGCCCACAAGAGGAGCCTTGATGAGACAGAAACTGAAGGAGGTCTTCAGATATGGAAGGAAGAGGGGGAATGAGTTTAAAGAGGGGAAATGTAGCCTTGAATAAGCACGGAAGAAAACAGGGTAAAGAAAACTTAAATGAGAAAGATTTTGGTTTGAAAAATCCCAAGAACAAATTAAACAACAAACAGTAACCTGTTCCTAGGCACATTACAATAAAACTTCCAAGTTATCAAAGATACACTGAAAAACTGCAAAAAATTTCTACAAAGGGATGAAAATCAGATTTAAGTCAAACTTATCAACACTAAATATAAAAAAATGGGCCAATATCTGTAAAGTATTAGAGGAAATGATTATTTTGAAATCATAATCCTATTTTCTGCCAAACGGAACATTTCCAGACATGAAAGAATCACAAACTTCTATAACCTATAAAATTCTGTAAGAGAAAAAGGATAGACAGTTCTGCAAGTAACAAAATGAATCTGGAGAGGCCTCTTTTGATGAGGCAAGTCAGCACCATTGATCTGCTGAGAACAACCGGGAAGATGAGAAAAACAACAGAGCCAATACTTGGAATACTACTGAATCCAGAGAGGTGTGGCCTTTCTTCAGGAAGCATCTGTGGATTCCAGAAAAGGTGGCTGAAAAGTTTCACAGAGAGCTTGAAAACAGCTTCATGAGCTAGAGAGAAACAAAAAACAAAAAACAAGGAAAAGAGCCAAGTAAGTGGAGAAGTAGTAGTGTTAGTGAAGTCGGTAGGCTTTGAGTTAGATCCAAACTGTAATGAGTAATTGGACATAGTGAAGCCAAACTTTAAACTACTCAATAGTTATTGGTGATGCCTTTACTCTCATTCCTGAACAGGATGTAAATCTTTGGATAGAAAATACATCATCTTACATCCCAAAATATTTTCATAAATTTTTATTCCATGTCCTGCACTTAATCAAAAGCCATCAGGTAAATAAAGACAAAACAGCATGGCTGAAAATCCTAAAGAAATGAAACACACACACACACACACACACACACCCCAAATAAAATAGAGCAGTCATGGTGAACCTTTTAGAGATGAGTGCCAAAACTGCAATTCAAAACCCACTTTATGGCAAAGTGCCAACACTGCAATTAAACCTGAATACTAAGGTTTTAGTTTACAAAGAACAACTCATAAATTAACGTATTTTGTCTCAAAAGAAAAACAAATAACAAGTGTGCCATAGATTCACCACCACTGAAATAAAGGATCCAAAAATCCTTGTCTTCAGAAAGACTTCAAATGTGATTAATATATTCAAAAAAGAAAAAGAAAAGATTAAAAATTTCAGCAGAGAATTGGAACAAATAAAAACCTACTGAAAACTGAAAAGAAGCACAATGAAACAATAAGATTTAATGGGTAGATTTAACAGCACAGAGAGTATTAATTAACTAGATCAGTTAGGAAAATAACGAGGATGAGTTGATAAGGACAACAAATACAATGGAGGGAAAGTGACATTGAAGTCAGAGGGAAAAGGCTGTCACACAAGTAGCAGGGCTTTTCAAAAGAAAGAGGCGAGAGGAGGAGGAAAACGCTGTGCATGAAGGGAGACTGGGAAGTCCCCAAATATGAGATGATGAACAGCATCAAGCCATAAATTCACAAAGTGTTGTGAATCCCAAACAGAGAATAATACCTGTATCTATCAGAGTAAGAAGATGGAAGCCAAATGGAACATTTAAGAGTAATCAGAAAAAAGTTCATTTTAAATGAGAAGTATTTAGATTACGACATGACTTTTCTTTTTTCTTTTTCTTTCTTTTTTTTTTTTTTGAGACAGGGTCTCACTGTATAGTTGAAACTGACCTGGAACTCACTATTTGGCCCAGGCTGGTCTCGAACTCACAGCAACCCTCCTGCCTCAGCCTCCCGAGTGCTGGGATTACAGGCATGCGCCACCACGCCCGGCGCGACATGACTTTTCAATGGACTCAAGAGGAACAAAAACACTTAAGAACTCATTTTTAACAGACCTGCACACAAGTGCAAAAAGACATTCTTTAATCAGATGGAAAATAATCCAAATAGAAGACTAGAGATACAGGAAGGAATGAGAAAAATTACGAAGGGTAAACGTTTGGGTAAGGAAAGTTACATCTAGTAATGTTGGATATGGCTTTGGTTGTTCCAACTTGGGGAGTGTGCTAGAGGCATCGCGTGGGGGAGGCCGGGATGCTGAAATCCTATCATATCCAGGCTGGCTCTTCAAAAAGAATTACCTGACCCAAAATATTAACAGTGCTGAAGCTGATAAGGTCTAATGTAAATGAATATTGAATACAAATAATAATCTTTTGAAGGTTTAAAATACAGAGAGAATTAAAATACATGACGGAAATAGATTTGTGCCAGAACCGAGAGACTGGAGTCAAAGTCTGTCATGGTTCTTACATGACGCAAGGTCCTAATGTATATCAGACTTTGCTAAGTCAAGGATGTATGTGGTAATTTCTACAGAGAAATTCTACAGAGAAAAGAACACTAAGAAGTGTATAACTGCAAGCTACTTATTTGGGATGGTGAAGCAAGACAACTGAAAGTTCAATGCCAGCCTAGGCAACTTAGCATGATTCTGTCTCAAAATAAAAAACAAAAAGGAAGAGGATGTAGCTCACTGGTACTTAGCCTAGCATGAGCAAGTTCTTGGGCTCAATGTGCAGCCAAATACCCGCCCCCCCGTGGATTGACCAAATAACAAAAACGAAGTAACCAATTAAAATGAAAGCAAAAAGAGGCCAGGGATTTAGCTCAGTGGTTTCGCTGCCTGCCTCACAAATGCAAGGTCCTGAGTTCAATCCCAGGTACAAAATATAAATAAATAAAATAAAAAAATACCCCCCCGAAAAAAATAACAACAGGTAGGAAAAATAGAAAGCAAATAGAATAGCAGATTTAAACTCTGAGATATATTGAGTATTGCATTAAGTACAACTTGATCATGTTTCCATCAAAAGACAAAGATTACCAGACTATAGTAAAAATGTTATTAATGAAAGGTACATAAAATACAATATAGAAGGCTAAAAGAAAAATCAGACAAATATATGTTAAGAAAACATTAACAAAACGCAACTACATTAACATTAGACAAAGTAGATCTTATGACAAAAAGCACTACTAGAGATACAGAAAGTATACATGATTAAAGTGCCACATAAGTAACTCTAATGTTATACAAGTACATCCTTATAACATAGCCTCAAGGTATATTAAATGAACTCGACCAAACTGACTAATAAAAATTAAACTATTTAAAAAAAAACCCAAATGACACAATTTAAACAATGGACCCTCTAGTAATATTATTTGTAAATTTAAGAAATAAAATTAAGCACAAAATACTTATGAAAAATATATGAAGATTATTTCTAATAACAAAAAAAGAAAGAAATTGGATATGTACCACCAAGATATCAGCTAACTTATAGAAAGAAAACAGACTATAAAGACCTGATGGATTCATATGCAACCACATATGTAGCCACATAGCAATAATTTACTGCTGAGTGGAAACAGGTTTTAGCACAACATATAGAATATATATATATATATATATATATATACATACACACACACTATAAAAGATGCACTAACTGCCTTCAGAACACAATTATGTCCACCCATTCATTTATCATCTAGGGTTACTTTGTGGCTGCATCAGCAAAGATGAGTAGTTATGACAGAGACCAATGGCCTGCAAAGTCCAAAATGCTCTTTGGCCCTTGCTAAAAACATCTGACCTTCCTTGTACTAAGTGAATTATGGATAAGGCAATTTGTCTTTTCTGCTTTATATCTGTAGCATTCTGATTTTTTAAAATATTTTTGTAAATTTAAACACATTTTAAATAACAAGTTTGTAGTGTTAGGAGTACTTTGTTTGGGAAGTAGGTTATTATGTGGAAATGATGATTTGCTTATTTTTCCCCTCTTTTGATAACTAAGCACTGTAAGACTATTCATTTCTAAGTCATTATGTTTTGCCTACAGCAACATGTAACCATCTTGATTAAAACCCTAAAGTAAGCCGGACGTGGTGGCTCACGCCTGTAATCCCAGCAATCGGGAGGCTGAGGCAGGAGGATCACTGTGAGTTAAGACCGGCCTGGGCTACACAGTGAGTTCCAGATCAGTCTCAACTACATAGTCTCAAAAAATCAATCCCCCCCCAAAAAAAACCAAAAAACCAAAAAAACCCTGAAGTAATTATTTCTCTAAATCAATGCTCCTCAACTTCAGCACTATTGACGTTTTTTTGTGTGTTTTTTTGAGACTGGGTTTTGCTTTGTGGTTCAGGATGGCCCTGAACTATATAGACCACATTGGCCTTGAACTCACTGTGATCCTCCCTCCTCAACACCCCCTCCCCCCAGTGCTGGGTTTACAGGATTACACCCCCATGCCCACGTGCCCAGCAGCACTATTGACATTTGACACCAACAGTTTCTTCGTTGTAGTGAGCCGTCCTATGCACGGTAAGATATTTAGTAGCATCCTTAGCTTCTTCTTGGTAGATACCTGCAGCAATTCCTTCAAATGGTGACTACTGAAAACATCACTAAATCAGTTATGATGGTGCACATCTGTGATCCCAGCACTTTGGTGGCTGAGGCAGGAGGATCACGGCAAACTCGTGGCCAGCCTGGGCCACATAAGTGAGTTCAAGGCTAGCCTGGACTGCATAGTGAGACCCTGTCTCAAAAAACAAAACAAAACAAAATGACATTACTAAATGTCTGAGGATGCCAGGAACAGGGTATATACCTGTAATTTCAGCATTTGGGAGGCCGAGGCAGGAGAATTGCTGAGTTTGAGGCCAGCCTGAGCTATATAGTGAGTTAAAAGATAGCCTAAACTAGAATGAGATCTTGTCTCAAAACAACAACAACAAAAAAAAGTCTAGGGAGAGGGCAAAATCACCCCCAAGTGAGGAGCACTGCTCTAAATTATGAGTTGGCCAATTTTTGCTATAGATATTTTAACTTCTGCAGCCCGTATAGTGAGTCTCTTGTTGCAAGTACCGAACTCTGCAGTTGTAATGCATAGCCATAAACAATACATACACACATGGTTATCACTGTGTATACTGAATTTTTTTATATATTGAAATTTTAATTTCATGTGATTTCATCTGTCATGAAATGTTTTTATTTTTTCTTTGTCTTTTTAGCCCTACCTCAGCAACTGACAAGTGTTCTATCACTAACTATACCTCCAGCCGCTTTTTTCTGTGGTGGTGCTGAGGCTTGAACTTAGGCCTTTAGCCTGCTAGATAAGTGAGTGCTCCACCACAGAGCCACATTTCCAGATTCTCCCCTCCCCACTCCATTTTTTGAATGAACTCAGGTCTAGACTAATTAAGCCTTATTCACTATAGTAAAACTATATGCAGCTTGTGTGTGTGTTTGTGTGTGTGTGTGTGTGTGTGTGTGTGTGTGGTGCTAGGGATTAAACTCAGGGCCTTATACATGCTAGGCAAGCACTCTACCACTAAGTTCTACCCTCAACCATCTAAGTGTATTAAACCATTTAGGAACAATAAAAATATTTTAGTTTGGCCCATAATTTCCTGACCTCAGCTCTAACCTGCTATCCACCCTACAGGATGGTTCCAAAGTTCTCCACAATGACTTCCCTGTGCATTAACCACCTCAGCCAAGGTTACTCTGTGAATTTTATTCATTCCATGATTTAGATGTATGATTCCACTGTAATCCCAGCACTCAGGAGGCTGAGGCAGGAGGATCGCTTTGAGTTCGGGACCAGCCTGGGCTACATAGTGAGTTCCGGGTCAGTCTCAACTACATAGTGAGACCTTGTCTCAAAAAACAAAAAACAAACAAACAAAAAAAATAGATGTATGATTCCATATAGTTGTCCTCTTATTCAGAACATAAAGTGTTGGTCCTTTCCAAATACAGTGGCAGAGACAACTGAAAATTAAAGTGAATATATTTAAATTTACTTGTAAAACTATAACCACAATCAAGAAAATTCACATGTCCACGACTCTACAAAGCTCCCTCACAACAGTGAAATCCCCATCTCACAGTCAATTTGTATTCCTGAGCTGAGCCAGCCACTGATACTCTCGCTGAAGAACAGTTGGCATCTTCTACAGTTTCTACACACACTTCAGAATCAGCTTGTCAACTTATACCAACACTGTCTGCTAGAATTCTGACTGGTTTTGTAACAAATGTATAGTTGGATAGAGGGCGAACTGAGAATTTCACAATATTGAGTCAAATGATCTATACACATGGCATATATTTCCACTGACAGAGGTCTTCAGCAGGACTGTTTTCAGAATAGACAGTATTTTTAGTGTATCGTATTTTATGCTATTATAAATGGTATTATAGTTTAAAATTATCTTTGATTTTTGTTACCACACAGAAATAATACTGATTTTTGTAGACCGATCTTATATCCTGAAGCCTTGCTAAACTTATTAGTTATAGAAGCTTTATGGGGGGCAGATTCCATAATGTTTTCTATATAAATGACCTAGACATTTGTGAATAAAGCCAGTTTTACCACTTCCTTTCCAATGTTTGCATTTTTAATAGTGTTGGCTTGCAATTGCTAAAAATTAAAATTCTAGTCTTAAATTTTATACAGATAAAATATATTTGAGTCTGTTATTAAACTCTTGTGTTCCATATTAAAGATATATTTCTAAAGATTATAAAATGATGCTTATCTACAATCTGGATGGACTCTATTGCTTGGACTTCTCTTACTATATTGGCTAGAAAATCCAGCAAAATGAACAGAAGTGCTGTGTAAACAGACAACATTGCAATGCTCACGATCTTAAGGGAAAAACATTATGTCACCACTAAGTATTAAATTAGCTGTAAGTTTTTCATAAATGACAATTACCTATGGAATAAGTTCCACATCACTCTTAGTGTAGTGCTTAGTTCAGGAGTTTTTATGGGGAATGGATGTTGGTCTCTGTACAGGGGCTCAACACTGATAGTGAGCAGACCTGAGCAGGACACAGAAAAAGGGTGGCCAGGTGAACAGGAAGGAGCACACTGCAAACTGTCTCAGCTGCAGGTTTCCAACAGGTAGTGGAAACCACACCAGCACTCTGTGGCAGGACTCAGAAAAGCCTCACTGGGTGAATCCTGACTATACCCTGCAGTCACCTGCAGAGGTTTCCTCACTTTTCCTTACTACCTTTACCGGACTATGCCAGACTGGCAGGTCACAAAGCTGCTTTTATACAGACAGTACCTAATAGTTATTTCTCAGCTTCACCAAGTGCAGGACCCAGTCAAGCCATTCTTCTTGTGTCTTACTTCCTCATCACTGATGCTGTTTCATAGTTACTTTATATGGTACAATCATTCACACCCTCCACCCAATAAAGAATTATAAAGAGAGTGAATAATAAAACAAGAGGGCTGGGAAATGGGTTGAAAGTGACGTTAGTTACACAGCACCTCAGCAGACCAGTGGAGAGAGATCTTCCACATTAATTGCCAAAAACTCAGCACAGTGAGGCCTACTAAGATGTCAGTGAACTACAGCTGAGGGTCCAAGTCTGGCCTAATTTTTTTTTTTTATATATGGTCTTGCTAAGTTATTAAGTTATCCAGGTTGGGTTTGAACCTGTGATCCTCCTGCCTCAGCCTTCCAGAGTATTGGGATTATAGGTAAGCTCCACCACAGCCGGGTTGGCCCACTGTCTTTACTGTAATGATCATTTTATTGGAGCACAGCCACAGTCGTTTACATATCACTTACGGCTGATTCTATGCCACAAGGTACTACTGAATAGTTATGTCAGAGAACGGATAGCTATACAGCCTGAAGTATTTATTATCTAGTCTTTCATAGAAAAGTTTGCTCAAGATCAGTCTAGAAATAAATATACAAAAAGTTCTTTGATTCTGATAGAAAAATTCCAAGTTCTGATTTGGCAGTAATACTATATAGTACATAGCCCATGTATCAGTGATATTTCTCAAAGACTTCCTACTGAGGCATATGAGCAAAATAAACAAATATTGCCTTTTCAAAGGCAAAACAGTCACTACTAATTGAAATTCTGTTTCATTCTAGAAATTGGTTGGTGGAAAATAAGATATGAAGTTTGCATTTTTGTTTTGTTTTTTTCTGCTTATTTTTCAAACTGACTTTGGACAAAATGAAGAAATTCCTAGGAAACAAAAGAAGATGTATCACAGAAGATTGAGGAAAAATTCCTCACTCAACCATAGGTCAAAGAGACAGCATGGAATTCAGCAAACAGCGACTGCTACACCAATGGCAAGATTTCCCATTGTTAACTTTGATTACAGTACAGAGGAAGAGTTTGAATCCTTTTTAAGTCTTCCTGAAGTAGAAGCAGGCTACAATGTATTACCAGGTAAAAGAATGGTATGAGAGAAAAAGAGAGGGTTGGGGAAGCAGAGAGAATGAGGACCTCCATGTTACTATATTACCTTTTGGTTTAATCTATAAACAAATTAAAAAATATAATTTCAGGAATATATTGATACAAAATGATTACAAAAAGAAAAACTTATCCTACTATATTTTTAAAATAAGTGATCAGTTTCTTTCTAGAATATTTATTATGCATATAGTTGCAATCATAATACATATTATATACATATTAATTTATAAAGTGTTTTTTCCATTTGATAGATCATTTAGAATAGAAATTACTAAGATAACTTTAAGAACACATGGTTATTAAATATTTTCAAACAGATTTTTTTCAAACATGAATGGAGTGAAAGCCACTGAATGTATTTGATGTAAACTACACTATGGGTTTATAAAAATTGAAGTTATATAAATATATGAATAAATATATATGAGAGGATTTTGTTTTGGATATTGGGTTTGAACTCAAGGCTTTACATGTGCTATGCAAGAACTCTAACACTAAACTACATTTTCAGCCTTTTAAAACTTTAAAAAAATTTGAGACAGAGTCTTACTAAAGTTGCCAAGGCTAGACCTGAACCTGAGTCTTCTGTTTCAGTCTACAGAGTAGCTGGGATTACAGGTGTATGCCACAATGTCCAATTAAAAACTAGTATTCAATGATCCATCTTTTTCCAAATTTGGAAGAAAATGCATTCTAGATATGTTACCATTAAATATAACTTTGAAGAAACAAAAAATATCATCATAGATTTTTCTGTGACTTATTGTCTCAATAAAGTCAAATGCTTCTAAACTATTATTTCCACAAAGTTAATAGAAATAACATACAATTACTATGAAAGCAGGCAATTCAAACCAAACAAAACATGAGTAGGGAAAAAAGAGGCAGAGAAATAAAGTGTGATAATTACAGTACAGTATAATAGTATATCCATAACTCCTAATGAATGATAAAATCAATTTTCTTATTTAAGTAAAAAGATATACAAGGGGCCCGGAGATTATACAGTGGTTCCACCGCCTGCCTTGCAAGCACAAGGACCAGAGTTCGATCCCCGGTACCAAAGGGGGGGAAAAAAAGATATACAGGGTATAATAACAGCAGATTAAAAGGACAAAAGTAGTACATGTGGTATGATCTCACATCTGTTTCAATCACGTAGCAGTCCAATTAAGTACAAGAAGACCAACAATTACATATTTTCATTAATTTTTATATTACAAGAAATATAAAACAATTTTATCAAATTTATTCAATAATATTTTGTGTGTCATATATCTTAAAACATTCAATACACAATGCACCATTATAAACTGGACAGTAGGATCTAGTCTTTTTCTAAACACTTTTTGTATTATTTATTATCTTTCTTTGAACAACAGATTTTATGCTGTAGTGTTGGCCTTTCCTTTTTTTCTGTGGGTGGTATATTTCCAATAAAATATCTAATGGTGAAGAATATGATGGATATCCTGGTTAGTGTTTCACTATCTCATATTTTTCAATTATTTGGTGTATTAGACCTAATCTAAATTGCAAATGATTTTAAAGCCCTGTTTTGAATAAATAACAAACGAGTTCCATATTGTTTGGTCTAAAAGATGCATGTACATTTTATAATAATATTTTTTCCTTGTTTTTGATTATAAGATAGCTTGTTAGATGTTGGTCAATACCACCCACAGAATTATTATGATTATTGGCCACTACTGGAATTTTTTTAGTTTTGTTTCTTCTTTCAAGTTCTATCATTTTTGTATTATGAATAGTTGACAATAAGAAAATGTCTTTTTGTCTTTCCATTTCATACAGAGTTTTCCTCTCTGATATGCTAACATTTCTTCCTTTTTCCAGTTTTTTCTTTTGCAGATTTTTTGGCATGTCTTTCCCATTCAGTCTCAGTGTCCGAAATGTGTCCATTTTATATTGTAAAACTATCACTGAGTTCTGGACACGTATAAAAATTTTATCTAATGTAATTAGAATAAGTTTTCATAAAAAATAAGTATAGATTGTAGCACAAAATTATGGTTTATTTTTCACAAAATAATCACAAATTAGTAAAATAAAGAATATAGCCAGTAAAATAAAAAAGACAATAATCAGGACTTAAGTAGATTTCACTAGAAACAAACATCAAAGGCAAATACAGGGCTGGGGATTTAGCTCAGTGGTTCTGGCAACTGCCTCGCAAGCACAAGGACCTGAGTTCAATCCCTGGTACCACAAAAAAAAAAAAAAAAAA